AAAAAAAAAAAAAAAAAGATTTTAAGATATCAATATTAATTATCTCTCCACTAAGTATTTTAAAATACCATTTTAAATGATACTACACTATATGTATAGACATACTTGCTTAAACGTAAATTGTATCGCTTCGCATTTGCGCTGTTCAAGTACTGACATAAGTTCTTTTATTTTTTCATCACCTCGATCCAATTCTTCTTTCCGTTTCACTAATCTTTCTTTCTGATCGCTAAAGGACATAAACTGATCCAAAGCTTTTTTATTCACATGACTAGAAATATAAAACATAAATATAATAAATTTGCTAACACAATCTTTAATTTAACATTAAAGACAATAATTATTAATAATTACTGACTTAACATAATAAGTCAGTAATTATTAATAATTATTGCCAATTTACTATATTTAAATAGAAAAAATACGTACCTATATTTTTTTAAATGATTATTTGCCTTTTCCATTTCCTTAAAAAGCTGTTTCGTAGACATTGTACTAAACTTAGAATAAGCTTCGTGGCTAGGCAACGCACCAAGTTCAGTAATTTTTTGTGTACACTCCACTATTTTCTGTTGCAGGATATTTAACTTGCTTGCTAATTTTTCCAAGTCTTTCGCATCCGCTTCTATTTTCTCTTGCGCTTCTTTTTCCTTTAATTTCCATTTTTCAACTTCGGCAGACTCCGATTTTTGCTAAACGTACGACAAAATAGGAAAATTAAAGATTATATATTAATTTAAACACAAAAAGTAGCCATCGTGTTTTTAAATACTTACTTTTTTCATGGCATTGGTCACTTTTTCATTTTGCACTTTGAAGTCCTCGTTTACTTTCATTAATCTCTTTTCGATATCCGCTAACTGGATCTTTGATGAATCAAGCTGCCGCTGTCGATCTTCGACCGATATCTCTTGTAAAGCTTGAACTAGCTCATCCTTTCTCCTCACTAAGTTGTTCGTTAATAAATTCTCTAATTTATTCTTCTCTGCTTCTAATTGCATTCGTTTCGCGAATGCTTCTTTATTCTCCTTCGTTAAGCGTCTTATATCGTCATTTAATGTATCAACCTACCAAAATCGATACTAATAAGAATCTTCAATTCAAGGTAAAAAAAAAAAAGGAAAAAATATAACATTTTTAATTCAACTGCATTTAAAAATCTGTTTACGCTCACTTGATGCTGATCTGTAACGGATAATTGTGCCATAAGTTCTTGGTGTAATTCACTCTCCAGACCATCTTTAGTTGCACGCATAGCTTCCAAACTCGAAGTGCATTGTGCAACACTCTTTTCTTTTGGTGCCCGATACCTTTCTATAGCACTTAATTCTTCCTTCATAAGACGTATTTCTGCTTTCATTTTGTCGTATATATCTCTGTCAAGTTAATAATGAACTGTTAATTAATCCCCATAATTAAATTCACATGCACACGCACACGCGCATGCACGCACGCACGCACGCACGCACGCACGCACGCACTTACGTACGCACGCACATCCCATTCGATGGCGCAACATCCCACAGTCGGGACAGGGCCTACCTCTCATGAGATTTTTGGAACAATGAAATTAAGTTGTTAACCTAATGTCCAATTTCCCCTCCCTCCTCTCTAGCCTGAGGGATCTATCCACTGATATATAGGACTTACAATTTAACGCCGGATCGACGTGGGTAATCAAAGGTCTCTTTTGATCACCAGGTAGACATTTCGGGCTAGTTTTGACTTTTTAAACGCGAAAAATCGCATATGATACTGAATCCGAATCTCCGTACAGATTGCGAGTCAATCGTACCGAGACAAGCCGCTCGATGTCTTATATTTTGTGTGTGTGTGTGTGTGTGTGTGTGTGTGTGCGCGCGCGCGCGTGCGTGCACGTAAAATATATAAGTTTTGAAATCAATAATTATAATCCTAGATAAAAAAAATATCATCTATATAATTACTTACTTAGCTTTACTATTTTTAGTTTCAGTCCTTTGCATTTCGCTAACGTAAGAACTAATATTTTGATCCGCCTTTCTGATTTCTTCCTTAAGTGTCGTTAATTGGGTTTCGAGAGTAGAAATTTGTGACATTAATTCCGATCTTGTTTTTTGTATCTCAAGCCGAGACCTGAGTGTATTGAAATATCCGCCAGTTAAGGAGCCTTTGGATGAAACTTGGTCTCCTTCTAACGTAACACAATCTAAACCGGAATCCCGCGCCAAAGTTGTTGCTGCTTCCAGATTACGACAGATCAAAGTCTTCCCAAATATATATCTATATTTAACAAAAATATATGTTAAAAACAAATGTACAATAATAATATAAATTATATATCACAAAAACAAATAGAGCAAGAAAGTAAAATAATTCTTATTTAATAATTTTTATTTTATATGCTTTTACCTTAACGCTTTATCAAATTTAGGATCATAATTTAACTTGGATATCATGGGTATAGCATCAGAGGTCTGTGGATAATCAATATCTTTTACATGCAGTCTATTCAGTGGCATAAAAGTTACTTCTCCTGGCAACCGTTGATTGTTCATTTCTTTTAAAATTTTTGTGCCAAACTTATCGGTCTCCACAATGTGATGAAACAATCTATTCCCAGCGGTTACTTCAACAGCCATATAAACGCTCTTGTCACAGTTGAAATTTTCAATTACAGGTCCGTAGTAGCTACTCACTTCATTAACCATATCTTTTCGCCCACTACAAAGATATTAAATATCGTATATATTACATGTTATCATCATCTCATCATGGATTT